AGAGGGTAAAGGGAGAATATTAACAGAAGGAAACCTGGGGTGATGAACACACAATACAATGTACAGATGATGTTATAGAATTGTACACCTAAAACCTTTATAATTATATTAATCAATGTCATCCCAATAAATTCAATCAAAATAAAATAGAAAATTTTAAAAATTTTATAGAGAATTTAAATTATAATAAATGTATATGTTTTTGTTGTTTTTTACCCTTATTATGCAGTTACTAATGAGTTATTCCTCCTGTTTTTTGTAGGAGACAATTCATTTATAAAATGTCTAGCCTTGGCTGGCATTGCTCAGTGGTTAGAGTGCACCAAAGGGTCTCGGTTCAATTCCTGGTCAAGGGCACCTACCTTGGTTGCAGGTTTGAAGCCCAGTACAATCAGGGCCCATGCAGGAGGCAACCAATCGATGTGTCTCTCTCACATAGATGTTTCTGTTTCTCTCTCTCTTCTCTCTCTCTCCCCCTTACCCCCCTCCCACTCTCTATAATAAAAAAAAAAAAAATGAGAAAAATATCCTTGGGTGAGGATTAACAAAAAAGTAAATTTAAGAGATGCAGAAACTTTTCCAGTTGCACAGTGAGAAAACCAGATCCCTCCGGCTGGGAAGCAAGGAAAGTTTCCACCAAGAAACATTTGAGCTAACCCTTAAAAAATTAACCGAACTGGCAAGATGTTAATGGTTGAAACTGGGTGATTTCTATACTACTTCACTATTTTTGTACATTTGAAATTTTCCTTCATAAAGTTTTTTTAAGAGTTGGGAGAAGAACAACATTTCAGGGAAAATAAATAGCACAGAACAATGTGTTTGAGGAAAGATAATAACTTTGAAATAAAAACAAGCTATACTTATGTAAAGGAGTCCAGCGGGGTGAGGGCCAGAAAGGAATCCAGCTTGAGGAAACCTGTCTTCACTTCTCGCCCAGCGACCTAACTTTAGATTGGTTATGTTTGAGGCACTCATGCTAAATCAGCCACACATTAAACAGACAATAGGGTTCACCCCTTCCCAGAGAAAGATGAATAATTTCAAAATAAATTGTTGTCAAATGAAAAATAAAAGCCACATATTAAATCTTTCCCAGACCTAAAATTATTCCAAATGGTCAAAATGCATTCTTGGCCCTAGCTGGTTTGGTTCAGTGGATCTGCCTGCGGACTGAAAGGTCCCGGGTTCAATTCCCGGTCAAGGGCACATGCCCGGGTTGTGGGCTCCATACCCAATAGGGGGTGTGCAGGAGGCAGATGATTCTAATCACTGATGTTTCTATCTCTCTCTCCCTCTCCCTTCCACTCTGAAATCAATAAAAATATTTTTTAAAAAAACAAACAAAAAAATGCATTCTTGTAGTACACCATTAACAACAATGGAGGACACCTCCTTGCAGCAGAAATTAGTGCCCATTTCAATCATTCAATAAATATTACACAGAAAGTATACCACATAAGAAACTATTGTTTAAAATAATCTGTCTTCAAGTTCTTTAATAAATGACAGAGAAAACAATTTCAGAAATGCCAGAATTTAAACTGGAGCTCATTCTAAAATTTCTTATATTACTTAACCCAGTTTTACGTCAGGCATGCTTCATTCCCATCTAAAATGCCAACGACTAGCACTTCAAGCTGTAGGTGGCTCTGGCTTCTCCATACCCTCCTGCACTATTTAGTGCCACAATTAATACTTTAGTGTACAGTATTACAGCCTCTTTACTCCAGACCAGAAGAAACAGTCGCTAGAAAGCAAAGGCACAGTATCGGATACGGTCACTGATAGGGCGCCTGGGCCCAGCAGGTGGGAGGTTCCACACAGTACAGAGGCAACCTAAAGAGAGTCATAAATATTCTCCCCCTGGAATCAAGGCGAGCACATGGCCAGGCAGCTGGAGAGGGACGTGACATTCCACCTCACTCATTTCCCTGTTTTTTCTCCATCCTTAGTAAAGGAGCTTCTGGCAACAAAATGCACTGTTAGGACAAATCCTTTGTTTAGAGATATTTTATTACACTTTTCTCTAACTGGTCTTGATTTCTAAATGCTATATGCCTCCCCTCCTAAAAGCCACACTTTTAAAAGTCACCAGCAATACTGTAACGAAAACCAACAGCCTTTTCCAATTCTGATTAGAATCTGAGAACTTTTTCACCCCACCCCCCTTATTGATGAACCCTGAGTTTCATTTTTGTGTATGTGCTCCGAAGTTCTTTGTAATACCATAAAAGTCTTGGGGGCAGATGCCATGTTCAAGCCAAGAAACACTTGAGAGAGCCTCTGTGTGGCAGGTAATACCAATAAAAAGATCAATGACACATGGTCCCAGTGACTTAACTCTTTTTGTATATCCACCAGACTTTTCCACTCTAGATGGTCAATAAATCTCTTAATGTAAAATTGATTTAACCAGTTAACTGCCACCATATTGTGCATTTAATTAAAAAAGGTCCGTTGCTTGTGTCTATAGATACTTGTGGCGTGCAAATGGTTAAGCAGGCGAGAAGTGAAGACAGGTTTCCTCAAGCTGGATTCCTTTCTGGCCCTCACCCCGGCCGGACTCCTTTACCTAAGTATAGCTTGTTTTTATTTCAAAGTTATTAATGGTTATATTAAATATAACCATTTATAATATAACCAATATAATATTCTATTAACCAGAAAAGTCCATGCAAAGTAAAAACAGCTATGGCTCAAGCACAGGAAAAGGGAGATATGTGAAATATTTACACATCAAGTACTTCCAGAGAAAAAGAGATTTAAACTCCTCATTCCCTATTTTGGGCGAATAAATGCATTTTGAGTTTTGCTGTTTTAGCTCCCACTTTTCCCTGCTATTCCTTTCGTTTTTATGAACTGACCCCATAGCATCAAAAAAAAAAAAAAATCTGTCTTGGGTCCTGGCCTGGTAGCTCAGTAGGATAGAGCCATCGTCTGGATACACTAAGGTCGTGGGTTTGATCCCCTGTCAGGGGGTCAGGGCACATACAAGAATCAACCAACGAATGCGTAAGTAAGTGGGACAACAAATCGATGTTTCTTTCTTTCTTTCTTCCTCTCTCCTTCCTCTCCTCCTCTCTCTCTCTCTCTCTCTCTCTCTCTCTCTCTCTCTCTCTCTCTCATCCCTCCCTCCCTCAGTCTTTCCCTCCCTCTCTCCGCCCCCATCCCTTCCTCTTTCTCTAAAAAATAAATAAATAAAAATGTTAATATGCCTTGGAAAGAAAAACAGCCAATTACATTCAGATGGTTGAAACTGGGGTGGTGGTTATTTATTCTGGAGAAGCTGGAAATCCTTTGTTCCATGAAAGGAAAGGCACTGAGAAAAAGGAAGGTTGGGTTTGCAGGCAAGAGTACTGGACCACCAGACGCTCATTCTCAGTTAAAGCAGGAGGGAGAGGTCATCCTCTAGGGGTGAGGGAGGCAGGGTGGGTAAGAGGTTTGAGGACCCTAAAGACTTCAATGATCCTTTTAGGGGAGCGAAGGCAGAGTTCAAGGCAAACAAAGGAAATTAAAGACCCATACCCTTAGCAAATGGGTTAGGAATAAAAGAAAGTTAGAAACACAACGGCTCCTATTGCCATTAACCTCCTATTGCCATTAACCGAGATCGATGTCCAATATGACCCATCAGTTAAAATACAGAACTAGAAAGGAGCCTTTTCAGGGGAATGGGATAGAACTACACCAGTAAAATGTTTCTGCATATAAAACTACAGGAAATATTTCTTGGAAACAAGCAAATAAGCCTACACTTTCACGTTTTGTTGTTGTTTCTAGCGTTCCTAATGAAGCAAGGCTGTAAAAAAAAAAAAAAATAAGCAAAAAAAAACAGGGCAGTCAGGAATAATGTGTAGATCAGATGCGGGGGAGGAGGGGCGGGCATGAAACACTATCCGCCGAAGTGAAGATGATGCTCATCTGGTGTTTGTCCAAACAGTAATGACTCCAAGGCACTGGGTAGGGAAGTGATGAGAACAGAGACAGGCAGAAAGAATGTCTGTGATAAAGCTCTCCCCCTCTTGAACTTGTTATCAGAAACAATGCCACACACACCCCCTAACACACACACACACACAATCACGAAGACATCAGGGAAAGTGGCCACGTCGCCCATATGAGAAGTCTGTTCAAAGCCCCTGTGAAGTCGTCACGACCCCAAAACGACCTAAACGAGACACCTATTGCGAAGTCACGGGCAAACCAGCTTCCACATACACGCATCCTGGCGATGACGTAAGGAATCTCGGAAGCATTGGGAGGGAACCATCAAGCCACTTGGCCCTGACGCGTGACGACACAGGTCTCTGTCCAGGGGGTCGCGGCGCCCGTGGCCAGCACCGAAGAGGCTCTCGGAACCGTCTCCTAACGAAACGCGAGGCGCCGGTGCGGGCCCCGACGACACGAGGCCTCCAGCCGAGGTCCCCAGCTCCTCCCCGCAAACGAGGCCCGGAGCCAGATGCAGGCGCCAGCTGCTCCTTTCCCGGCGACGCGGGCAACACCGATCGTGGACGCCAGGCTGCATTTATTTAGACCCGCTCCTCCCCGTTTCGTCCGGGAGAAAAATCCCAGGGAGCAGGGAGCAAGGAGGGCGCCGGGGGAGGGGGCGGCTTGCAGACCAAGGAAGTACAGAAAGTGCTGAAACCTGGTAATTTCCAGAACTTCCCACCAAAACACAACACCCTCACTCCCTCCTCCCCCTCGGCCCGCACCGCCTCCGCCCGGCCCGGCCCCGCTGCTCAAATCCTGGCCAAGGAACCGTCTCCCCATCACCACCCCCGCCCCTCGGGTTCCTGGACACCGTCCCCTCCCACAAAGTTAGGGCGCCCGCAAAAGGAGCTCCCCTAGGCCTGGCCGCCCCACCCAACACCCCGTTTTCGGTCCCACCCCTCCCAGTGAGCACTCTCCTCCTCTCCCACTGGGATCCCCGGCCTCCCGCCCATGCGCATTCCTCCCCCACCCCCAGGGCCCCGGCCCCCCGCCCTGCCCGTCCTCACCATGTACCAGGTCCCCAGGATGATCGTCCCGGTGCGGACATGGCAACAGCCGCAGCACCGGGTGCTGTAGAACCGGTCGCTGCGGCTCCGCTTGAAAGTCATGGACACCATTGGGAATCTCGCGGGCCTCGTTCTCGGCCGGGACCGGACAAAAGCTTTCCGCTCGACGGATGAACCCAGCGAGCTCTATCCCTGCGTCCAAAACCCAACGACGCGTCTTCAAGCCCGCCCCCGGTCCGGGCCCCAGCCAGCGCCTGCGCACTGAGGGCCGAGCGCCGCCCTCGGGCGACCTCAGGCTACACCTTCTTTCCCCGCCTCCCCCCCACACGGACCAATAGGAGAGCGGAAAGCTCGGTGGACTCGACCTCTGATTGGAGCAGCTTAGAAATTGACAAGACGTCATGCCCAAACAGAAGTGCAGCTCGCCTCAGCTCTTAAGGGAGGGTAAGGGCTGGCTGGCTCGGAGGCCTAGGGTATTAGGGTTGGGTGTAGCCAGGTCGGTTACCATCTCCGAGACGGGAGCGGCGAGAAAAAAGGCATTGAATAGGGGAAGGGGGCGACGGGATGGGTAGCCGGCAGGAAGGGTCGAAGGACTTTTCTGAGTGACGTCATTGCCACGTCCTGCTTCGGAAGCGTCACGGGAGGGCGGCTGCTCACGTGACCTTGGCGCGCTGCCATTATCGGTGCCTGTGGAGGGTGGGCGGGGCTAACCCCGAGCTTGAGCCCGCCCCCTGCTCGGGCGGAGATTGATTTCCTGCAGGGGCACAGATTTGGTTCCCCTTGGCGCTCACCCTGAGCCCGGTGGTGGGAGCAAAGAAACACCATGGAGCCCTGCCAAAAGCAACGCAGAGGCAAGAGGATGGAGACTAATGAGGAAAATACAACAAAGATAAAGAGAGAGACCTGCGTGGGTGCAGGATGTTTACAGCTCATCAGAGTGATTTTTGTAGGGAAAATTGTAAGCACGTTGAAATGGACCATAAGTTCACTGGGTGTCTTCCCTACTGGCTCACCTTCCCGGTATTCTGATCCTAAGGGGGATCTCCGTCTTTGTGGAGCTCTGTGCAGCTCTACATTGTAGATACCTGAGAGCAAAACAAAATACCTGTGCCCATTGAACTTCACATTGAATCGTCCCCCTCCTTGGAAAAAGCCGTTTTGCATCTATTTGTAAATTCATTTCTTATTCCTGATTCAGTAATATAAGTGGGTACTTAAATTCTGCTTTAACCATGTTCTAACATCTTACTGGTCTCCTCAATGAGTAAATAAGACATTTGACATGTGTTGATTTTGTATTTGTAAGAGATTTATGACTTTTTTCCTTTAAAAAAAAATAGTCGCGTCCAGCCAGTGTGGCCCAGTAGGTTGAGCATCCTCCCTGCACCAAGAAGTTCTATTTCCATCAGGGAACATGCCTGGGTTCAGGCTGGGCTCCAACCCCAATAGGGGACTTATACAGGGGCAGTAGATTGATGTTTCTCTCTCCATCTCCCTCTCTCTCTCAAATCAATAAAAACATTTTAAAATATATATGTTGTCGAATTAAGAAATGTCCAAACTTGTAAGGAATTTTTACAAGGTTTTATTTGAGCCAAACTGGCAGCAATGCCAGGCAGCAAGATCTCAAATGATCTGGACAATGACAGTTTTGCAGCTTCTTTTATGCTTGGGAGGGAGTATAAGGAAGATTACTTAAAGGTGGGAGAAAGCAAGGCAGGGATTGGATTATAAGAGCGTAAAGATCACGTGTTCTCTCTCTTGAGGGTAGTTACACTTACGTGAAAGGTGAGTTAACCTAGATGCATGGAAACAATGGACAGGGCTTGCTTAAGGGAAATAGAAACCTTTTACTAAGAAAGGTGTAGCCCTGGCCAGTTTGGCTCAGTGGATAGGGCATCAGCCTGCAGACTGAAGGGTCGCAGGTTTGATTTCAGTCAAGGGCACATGCCCGGGTTGCAGGCTCAATCCCCAGTAGGGGATTCAGGAGGCAGCCAATCAATGATTTTCTCTCATCATTGATGTTTCTATCTCTCCCTTCCTCTCTGAAATCAATAAAATTACATTTTAAAAAAAGTTATATGCCTGGGGCATGACTTACCACCATGACTTTCCCAATAAGAAATTTGTTATCAGGTCACCCTGTGAGGTTACTTTTCCTAGAGCCTCTTTTTCATTTACACTACAGTTTAACACTTTGGAAGGACCTACACTTCCTTTTTAGGGAATAGACAGGCCTTTCCACTGCCAAATATATTCTTAGCTGGAGAGACCACAGTGAGTTCAGAGTAAAGGTTATTGCATTGGCATGGCTTCCGTGAGCACTGCCTGAAATTATATGTTGATTTGTTGATTATTTTTCTCACCTACTAAAATGTAAATTCTGGAAAAGCAGAGACTTTGTTTATTTCCTCAAGTGAAAAAATTGTCCATGGACAATTTTTCTAGTTTGGATAGTACTTCAAATTTTAAAAATATGTTTTTATTGATTTGAGAGAGAGAGGGAGATAGAGAGAGAAACATCAATCTACTGCCTCCTGTAAGTCCCCTATTGGGGTTGGAGCCCAGCCTGCAACCCGGGCATGTTCCCTGATGGGTATAGAACTTCTTGGTGCAGGGAGGATGCAGGGAGGCCATAATTCACCCAAGCTACACTAAAAGGTGGAGTGGGATGGTAGTAATTTAACTCGTAATGAATTTGGACATTTCTCCACTATCAGGGAGTAGACCATAATAATGCCCCCCCCTGAAAATTTACATAAATTTACATAGTCCTTATTTGTTTCTTTCGAATAATTTCCTTGCATCCCTTGGCCAGCATCCCTTATTTCTCAAGGTAGCTGTAGGCATAGTCATTACCAATTAAATGTGAGCAGAATGATGTGTATACAACTGGGTCAGGGCTTTTAGGATTTGAGAACTGAACTATCTGCTTTATTCACACCACCGTTTTTACTTGAAAGAACAACTGACCAGCAAATATTAAAATTCAGACGTGTATTTGGCATTCCATTTTTTGGAAACAAATGTAATTAAGCCTGTCCTAACTGGAATATTTGTTGCCAATGATAAAATTGGTCTTTCAAAGGAAAAAAATACAAAAAAAACCACATTATATTCACCACCGTGAACTTAGAGATTTTTTCTGATGAGAATGGAGGTAAAATAAACTGTGATTTTTTTTTTTAAGTTGGTTAATGTCAACATTTGAATATCTGCACAACTCAGTGAACCAACATCTCCCAGGTAACCAATGCACAATGTTGCAAAACCATGCATAGTAAAAGAACCAGTCATGTTTAATGTAACTATGAAAAGGTCATTGATATGGTTTCATATTCTACATTGTAACTGAACTTTAGGGAGTTATTACTAAGTTTTAGTGTAGAATCAAAGAAGAATAGCCACAAATATCTAAAAGGGCTATTAAAATACTCCTCCTTTTTTCCAGCTACGAATCTATGTGCTACTAAATTTTCTTTGTATAGTTCAACTAAAAGAACATACCACAGATTGCATGCAAAAGCAGATGTGAGAATGGAGCTATTATTTTTCTCCAGCAAAACACTAAAGAGATTTTCATATAAATATAAAATAATGTCACTCTTCTCATTACTTTTGTAAACTTCAGAAAATACAGTTATTTTCCATAAGATTATTTTATGTTAACATGTAATGGATTATTATAATTTTTAATCAATTTATAGATATTTTAAATGATCTCAATTTTAATTTCTAGTATGATAACTATCAATAGCTATAACCCATATAATAAAAGCTCTTTGGTGTCCTCTATCATTTTTAAAAGTGTAAAAGGTTCTGAGACCAAAAGTTTTGAGAACCAGTGAGCTGAGCCTCCTAACCACCACAGTGGACAATGGTTACTGATATTTGAAGTGGGGACTTGGAGGTAGTAAGAGCTGCCCTCAGATTATTTTTTAACCGAAGAGGAAAGTGAATTTAGGGTTTTCAAAATTCTTAATAGTGTGGGTTTATACAACTCTCACATTAACAGTTTGGATTACTGGCTCATCAGCATTTGCCTGGACAAGAAGCTTGTCTGAATCTGTTTTTTTTCACCTGTAAAATGGAAATAAGATCTGCTTCCTAATGAAGCTTTAATTTCTTTGCTCTGATGAAAGCAGAGGCAAATCATGCCTTGAATATTCCTACCATGATTTCCTTATTCATCTCCAGTCCCTCAAGGTATTTCTTGTCTGCTAACATTGGTAATTATCTCCTTTAGCCAAATTAAACACGTGGTTTCTATTTTTAATTGCTCCAAGGTATTGAAAGGAGTAATTGGTAAGTGCTGCCCAAGGATCTTGAAGATGAAAAGTACTATGTAATTATCACCGTGGGAAAACTACTTTCCATGCACTGGGCTAAAATCACTACTTGGGCTGTGGAATTACATTCTAAACCAGGGATGGCGAACCTACGACACGCGTGTCAGAGGTGACACACGAACTCATTTTTTTGGTTGACTTTTCTTTGTTAAATGGCATTTAAATATATAAAATAAATATCAAAAATATAAGTCTTTGTTTTACTATGGTGGCAAAGATCAAAAAATTTCTGTATGTGACACGGCACCAGAGTTAAGTTAGGGTTTTTCAAAACGCTGGCACGCCGAGCTCAAATGGTTCGCCATCACTGTTCTAAACTGAAGGGCTGCTGGCACGCACACGGTGACGTGGGTTTAGCATCTTTCTGTTTCTTCGCCTTTAAATCTTACAGAGGCATCAAGAAGAATGCCAAATCAGTGAACTTGATGTTCAGCAAAACTAGCAGCAGATATCTGTGGCCTTCAAAATACAAATCGGGGCGGCTAAGAGCAGCTGAGATTAGACAAAAGCCACGGAGGAGGAGGTGAGGGAGACAGGCCCACGCCGCGGCAGGGTTTAACACACAGTAACAGACCTGTTTCCCCAGGCCCGTAAAAGCTATCAAACTGTGTTCGGGGGGAGGTTGGGGGTTAATGGGGGGGATGAGGACACATTTGTAATACCTTAACTAATAAAAAAAAAATAGTTTTCTAGAATGAGAAAAAAAAAAGCTATCAAACTATCACCCAAAGGGCCCCGCGTCCTCATAAAAATGGGAATCTGGACACTGACATGTACACAGGGAGAACGCCTTGTGAAGATGAAGGCAGAGGTTGAGGTGGGCTTGGAGGTACCAAGAGCGGCCCTCAGATTACTTTGTCAACAGAAGAGGACACTGACTTTTAAAGTTTCCAAAATTCTTAATACTCTTGGTTTATACAACTCGCACACTAACGACCGACCACACCCTGGCAAAACCAGACAGAACAGCCCCGTGGCTGGCGTTAGGACCAGATGCAATGATCACCTACCCCCTACCCTAGAGCCAACCATCACAGTCACCGCACCCCTAACTCCACCATGATTGATG